TTGTAATAATGTAAAATATGTGAAAAATAATGTGTTTTTCGAACAACCTAGTATGAGAGCCTGTTCTAGTACACCCTCAAAACAAAATCAAGACTTTGTAAAAGAGCATAATAGACAGCCCTTTAATGGACAGAACGTTGCCTTCAACGGAACGTCCCATCCAATATATCGCAAAAAGCATTGTGCTTTGGTAATTTTAATATGAAACAAGTCTCAGATTTCAAGTTCTGTCCATTGTAATCTGTCCTGTCTCGTGTAATCTCTCAATCAGTGTTTCAGCCGCGCAAACCTCAATATAACGGCTTGTAAACAATGTCACGTAACGTCACATTTACCTCAGAAAAACATTAAAAAACTATGAAAAAACATATTCGGTGACCATAAACTCATTAGTCAGAAAAATAAACTGTAGATAGGGGCATTTTGCTAAATATATGCAAACCATATAACATATTCATTATAAATTTTACTGTTCTTCAATGCTTAATTTATGTTTGAATAAATCCATAATTTTATGACAGCCACCATTATGTTTATATTAAAAAAAAAAAATTTGAAGTAGAAATATTATGTAATTGTAACTTTATTATTTAAAAAACTTCAGTTCTTCAATGTTTAATTTATGTTTGAATAAATCCATCAAGATTTTATGACAGCCACCATTATGTTTATATTTCCAAAAAAACAAATTGAAGTAGAAATATTATTATGTAATTAAAATTAAATGTCATTAAGTGAAACACGAGTTTCACAATTTGAGTTGAATTACTGAAATAAATGAACTTTTCCACGACATTCTAATTTATTGAGATGCACCTGTACATACAGTGGGGCACCATGGTATTATCATCTGATACCATAGTAGAACTACACTACTGACAGTACTGTACTTTTGTGAGAGAGGAGAGAGAAAATACATTTCCATAACCTTCCATTAATAAAATCTATACGTTTTTGAGATGTTACAAAACTCCATTAGTTAAAACCAAGTTTAACATTCTCGTAGAAACAAAGTCCAGCAGAAGGACAGACAGCTAGGTAGATTTCATCTCATGCCAATGTGTCAGTTAGTGTCATATACTCACAGGCGATGTAGGCAATGAGAGCGAGGGCGATCAGGATCTTCATCATTCTTCTGTTAATGACTGTGATCATCCAGCTCATCCGCATCATCCTCCAGCACACACGGCATTGAGCTCGTCCTCACCACCACTGCATCTCACTCTCATCTATCACACACTCATACAGCTTACGCGAGACTCAAGCCTGCTACTTACTGATACAACACTGCACTAGTATCCAAACATACACGACAACTGAATTATAAGCTGAAATACGAAAGTTTCTGTATAAACAGCTGCTGTATGTGAAGTAACACCACAAGCGCCTGCCCAAAGCTAACCAGGCTAACTTCTTCTCAAAACAATTTCTGCGTCAAAACAATATCTGACAGTTTAAATAGTCCAGCGTGTTTGTGTTCAGCAAGCATCCGGGTGAATCCAGTTTATCGGTTAAAGAAAGTAAAACGGCATTTTGGTTAGCAGTTATTTCTCTGAGGTCAGTTAGCCGTGTAACGTTAGCGTCGTGACGGTAGAGCTGCAGCTAGAGATGCTAACTAACTACTAGAATATGGCGCAATATCACGGGTGTCTGTTTAAATCCTCTGTCTAGTCCAAGGATCACGGTTTATCGATGATCCAATGTCATTAATCAAGAGTTCCGCGATAAAGCGGCTTCACATCAGATAACGTTCTTCTTCTTCTTCTTCTTATATTTTTTTTAGGGCGGTTGGCATATCAGATAACGTTACTCAGAGCAGGATAACCTAAGCGATGCTTTCTGTTATCGATTAAGCATCCTGCCGCGATAGCAAGAAATTAAAGCTCTTTTGTTTTCTGCTCAAATAGATGCAAACTATCTGACGAGCTCGTGTAAGCATTTTGATATTATAATTGTTGGTATATGTGAATTTAAAAAGGCACAGGCTTTATCGGTATATTTTCTTGTGCGTTGTCAGAGGAGAGTAATCAAGCACAGAATTATTCACCATGAGAACAGCGGCCCATTCATGAATAACGTGTGGAGCGACGTTAAAGTGCAGTGATTTTCCACGTTGACTCATACGCCTCAGCTTCATTTGACTATTTATTGGTCTTTGGACAGCCCTAAGAGGAAAACAGCATAAAGATTTCCTTCGATAAAGCATTCTTATTTTGCAACACATTTCCCCTATTAAGGTAGGCTAATTCATTACATAATGTGTTGTAGTTTTCAAATGGCAACTTTTGTTGCAGGACATAGTTTTAAGATCAGGCATGTCAGACATGTGCCAAAATGTCTATTGTACAAAAAAATATTTAAAATAAATACTGACATGCATTGAATTTACCATGAACAGTACAGACCCAACAATATGCACAATTATTTGTAAATGTCTATGATTTACTGGACAAACACTGGGCTAAAAATGAATTAGTATTAACCATATTTCCAAGTGGCAGGTCAAATTTACACACCTCCTTTATTTGCCTTTGACTTTAGAATTTGCTTTTTTGTTTCTTGCTGTCCGTGAACAATATCAGAGCAGACATGGAAATGATTTCAGGGTCACAATCAACCAGCTGAGAACATCCAATGCTCAGAGGCAACCATTAATATTCAGATATTTGCAGAGTGTTCTAAATAAATATATACATACATAAAAAATAGCTGAAGACTGTCCACAGAAGAGCTAAAGGTTTTATTTACGTCTCTATGCCTACAAAAAAAGCCATTATCGTGTGGATGCCTTGTCTGCATGTAAATGATGTATATTTATGGAAATGTTTGTAAGTTAGGAGGTTATACAGACAGACAGACAGATAGACAGATAGATAGATAGATAGATAGATAGATAGATAGATGAAAATACTGAAGGATCATGTGACTGAATTACTGTTTTAAATAAATTCAGAATAGGTGAGTAGAAAATACTTCTTTCCAAAACATTAAAAACTGATTCCAAACTTTTGACCGGTGTTTGCTCTAAATATCTATCTTCTTCCTCTGATGAGCTTTACAAAGTGCTTTATCTTAGTTAATGGCAATACTTGAGGATAAACAGACTGTTCATCAATTTATGGATTATCCTAAGGTTATTTTACGTCAGGTTTCCACAACACCATGTTGTGCTTCAGGTTGGCAAACATGTCTGTGTCTGATGTGACTGCTAATTTTGCACATAGAGAAGATTCAGTGTATGTCAAGTTACCTGAAATCTCTCTCATGAATGTGTACAAAAATAACAAAACAACTACTACAGAGAATCTGAAGGGATTATTTCTCACATGTGCAGAACAGAGTTTAAGCTCTCCAAGCTCAATATTACCAATCTTAGTTTTTGACATTTTGAAATCAATAAATCAGTGTTTGCTTCATCCTGATTGTGAGTAGCAGTCGCTCTATCACCTTATCCTGATGTTGTCAGGACAATGATTCACTCTACACCTTTTGCCCCTAAGGCTCTATGCTGTGTTGCAATAACAGACAGCTAGAAATATCATTTTGGATATCTTTTTTTGATTTTTTATCATTTTCTTCCCTTTAGAAAAGGTAGATCATAGCACTACCTACCCACCAGAGCTAGTACATTGTCAGGAATGAATTCTCTACTGACATTCATTTAAATAAATTTTTGATTTGAATAAAATATAAATAATAAAAAAAAAAAAATAAGAGACTTTTAAAACTGACTACTTTATAAACGATTTTTACAAACAGATTTTAGTTCTTATTTGGGAAAATATTAGATAATTAAATATGAAAACTGGCTGAAAATTCAAAGTTGAACAGGTTCTGAAAACTGAATTTGAAGCAGTAAAATTAAAAATTGGCATTAAAACAGGTTATAAATAACCATGTTTACGCTGTATTCTCAGAAATCCATGGGCACACAGTATGACTAATTAAGTCTATGAGTTTATGAAGGATTAAATTCATTTGTGCATTGGTTAATCTTAGTTTGGTTAAGCACATTCATATTATAATCATATTAAATTAATTAAACACAGCTCCTCTAACTGCTGGAAAACCTTTGAACATCAGATATCCTAGTGATATGTAACTTTCAGTATGACTGTGTTGATTTATTTTTCACTAATACTATAGCTCCCTCTGATGTCTTATGCCATTTTCCAGTGCTGGGGTGTTTATGACCTCTAATGGATTGATAGTGTCACTTATTTAATTATGCATACTTGTGCTCCTTTTGGACGTGTTTATATGTCTCTGAGGAATATTCCGTGAATTATTCCTTCTGATTTAATACCACAACATACATCTAAACACCTGTGTTGCATTATATATATCATCTCGCTGCTGAGTTGCTGTTTATGAGTCATTTGACATATAATTTTACATATTATTGCATTAAACATGATACTTAATGAGGAAAAAAATGAAGACAGGATTTGTTGTCAGAATGAGAGTTCAAACAACAGATAAAAACATCACAATAATCCACAAGCAATCCATATGACTCTAAAGTCCACTCCAGTTTAAACCTTTGCTTCTGGCTAAAATCCATAATATGTCAAAAAAAGTAGCTTCGTCTGAATCAGTAAGAAAAGATCAAGCAAAAAAGTCCAAAACAGTTCTGAAAAAAAATATGTTAGTGAATTTTGGTGTGAGAGGAAAACATTTCACTGGAGGAGGCATTATTATGGATTATAGACTCATATTTTGGCTAGAATCAACAGTTTAGTTAAAACGACTTAATGATGGATTTGTTTCTTACAAATACACAGCTTTTTGCTTCACAAGCTGTTAATTGATGGACTGGAGTCATATGGATTACTTGTGGATTATTGTGATGTTTTTAACAGCTGTTTGGACTCTCATTCTGACGGCACCCATTCACTGCAGAGGATCCATTGGTGAGCAAGCAACGTAATGCTAAATTTCTCCAAATCTCTTCCGATGAAGAAACGAACTCATCTACATCTTGGATACCCTGAGGGTGAATACATTTTCAGCAAATTTCAACTTTTTGGGTGACCTATAAAGCACACACACACACACACACACACACACACACACAAATCTTCACAGCACAAAAAACAAATTTTTTATATGCGTGGACAGCATGTTTATTTATATGCAGTGGTCAAGTCCATTTTATTCTGCTGTAGTTGAATTTGTTGAAGTGGCTGTAATAATATACTGAAGTGGCACACACAATTTCTGGAGAAGAGGTTACTGACAAGTCATTGACAACAGGATTGACCTAAAAAACCCTCCAGAAAGTATGAACAGAGCAAATAAGTATGACAGCAAGGCAAGCGATTCAACTCAAAGCAATAGAATGACAGGCAGAAACCATTGGAATTGAAGATAATACACTTCCAGTGTTAGAAAATGTTGTTCTGTCTAATGGCTGAGAAAGGCGCCCCGACAGCTTATAGAAAACATACACTGTTCACTAATACACTCTCACAAACACATACACTCGCTCACATAGTGAAGGAGGGAGCCAAGCAGAGCAGTTCCTGACATGATTGTGATTCAGTCCTTTAAATCCAGAGCGAAAAGCAACTCAGCAGAACAGCAGTGTGACTAAAAGACTTTCAAGAAGAATGAACTGAAATGCTTAAAGATTTTTTTTTCAGGGGACATTTATAAAATATATCCCTCACGAAACACTTACAGGTGAATGATTTGATTGGTCGAGAAAAACCGTAAATAGTAGCCTAAACCTAAATCTAAAACCTAAAATCAGTCACAAAAACAATTACAAAAGAAAACAACATTTGAAAATACAACATCTACTTTGCATTACAGACAATTCAAACAATGGCAGTAAATAACACCTGAAATGATGTTATTTCAGACTCCATTCCTCATTGTAGAGGCTGCATGCATGCACATCAACAACAAAATCTTCCTCTTTTTACACTGAGCTCCACCATTTCTGTCCTCCACAATGCTCTTTCTGTGTTTGTCTCTGTTGACGTCATCTCCACCAATTGCAAAATAGCAGTAATTTAACTACTTACAATAATCACTACAGGCTAATATCCTATTTAAAAAGAGTCGCATCATGTCAAATTATAAACTTATCCTACTGTTGTCTCTCTTTGGCTTTTTTGCCAAGACCTTGACTGAGTGTTTCAGCTGGGCCTTTCCAGAATGAAACTATCAATACTTCTTCCTCATAGCCTCATCATATCTTGCAGGATACCTAAAAGACATCAAATATGTTACCAGAAAATATTTAATTGGATAGGTAAAACAATAAAAAAATAGGATATTAAACAATGGAACAACCTTCTGAACTTCTGTCACCGTTTATAATCTGAAGATGAGTTGACCCTGTAAGAGGCAAAATGATCTCCTCATTAACACCAAACGTCAGGAACTCACACAGATGCCATGCAACAAAACAATAAACTTTGTAATCTGAAGAGAAGATCTACTCAACTGCTTCTTCACCCATCCTTAAGCCCCCTCCTTCCCTCCTGGACATATGGTCCAGGTCACTGAAATTTGATTTGGAAGTGTCAAGAACTCAAGTTACTATCCTTAAATTTTGTGGTTATTATATCTTAAGAAGATATGATTTTAACCTTTTCATGTTTAGTATTGTTCTAAAGGTCAATAGAAGAATTCTGTTCTGCTGCTGAGGGGTGTGTCTCCCTTAGGGACTCTGAGGATGTTTTCCTATGTCTGGCCAGGTGCGACCCTGGGTCATGAGAACCTAACAAACCAAAAGGTCTTTTATGTTTTTACAACTGATTTGAAGATTTGTTTGTTCTGATCTGGATATATAAGCGAAGAGACAAGACAATACTTTGGGATTCTGTAACCAGAT